AAAAATCAAAATCCTAGCTCACCAAAACAAGCTGGGGTTGGCTCATATCTATAATCCCAGCTATACAGGAGGTAGATGTAGGAGAATTGCATTCCACAAAAGGAAGGAAGGGAGGAAGGAAGGAAGGAAGGAAGAAAGGAAGGAAGGAAGGAAGGAAGGAAGGAAGGAAGGAAGGAGACTGCAAGACTCCATCTGAAAAATAGCAAAAGCAAAAAAGAAAAGAAAAAAGAAAATGTTGGCGGTGGAGCTTAAGTGATAGAATACTTCTGTAGCAGTACAAGGCCTTGAGTTCAAGCCCCAGTACTGGAAAAGATAAAATGGAAAATAAACAGAACAAGGGGAAGGAAATGGAGAAACACATCAGTCAGAATTTAAATCTTGCTTTGAGGACCTGGAATTTATCTAGGGTGAGTTTACAATTTCAAACAGTAAACTTTCTTGGAAACTTGAGAAAATATACATCTCTTTTGAATTCAACCAGGTGTCCAGGAATTATCTACTTTCTTTTTCCTTTCTGTCGAAAGCAGAATTTTCCCCCAGGTAACTTTTGCCTAAAAAGTGGACAAAAATCCTTGTCAGGACATGGAAAGACCATATTCAAATAAAAGTTACTCACTTTTTATTATAAGTTAACCTTTAATGCAACCTATGGATGAGAGAGAGAGAGAGAGAGAGAGAGAACGCTAAGTGAAGGATGAACATGTTCCTCTTTCCATTTCTGATCAGCAGTCCACTAGGAAAACTGACAAGGTTCCAGTGTGAAACAACAAAGAATGAAAAGAAGTAAAATGTTTTTTCAAAATTTATTTCTGAAGCAATTTCAGTTTATATCGGATAATTTTCTTAGATTAACCTGGTTCTTTGAAATATCTTATTGAGTGTTAATCAAATACCACTGAACAACTTAATTGGATTTTTCTGGATATCAAGTGGGAATAGTAAATTTTGTTCAGGCAAGAGCTCAAGGATAATTGACTTAAAACCAGAACACATTCCATTACACCAGGAAACAAGAGTGGAGAAGATGAGTGAATTATGCATTATGCGTTGTGCCTTCTTTCCTACATTGATAAGTAAATTTTATTTTTTAAATAAATTATTTTCATAAAAATAGCATGCTACATCCAGGCACTGGGGGCTTGCACCTGTAATCCTGGCTACTCAGGAAGCTGAGATCTGAAGGTGGCAGTTCGAAGCTAGCCTAAGTAGAAAAATCCATGAGACTCTTATCCCTAAATAATTACCCTCCCTCCCCCCCCCCGCCAAAAAAGCCAGAAATGGTGTTGTGGCTCAAGCAGTAGAGCAGTAGTCTTAAGCAAAAGAAGCTCAAGGACAGTGCTCAGGCCGTGAGTTCAAACCCCAGGACCAGCACACACACACACACACACACACACATACACACACACACTAATAATATGCAAGTTGTAATTTCTTTTTAAAGCTTTCATGATGCCTTTTACACTGCTAAAGAACCAACTGTACTAGCAGTTTTAATTCACAAAGAAAAGCCCGTGTGGCTGTGTATTCATTACTGACATCAATGTCTGTGGTTCTCATGGGTGGGCTGGGTGCGTACTGTACTGGCAAGCACGTCTGGCCTTGTTCTGCCTTACAAGGTGGTATTGAACCTGAAGGTGTGCTGCCATGGTTTTTCAGAAAAGCAAAAGGCATTACAAAAGGCATTGCCCTGCTCTCAGGCTGTCAGGCCTTCAGCATTAGGGATAAATCTCTGGGTCTGCTTCCTGGACTCTTTCTTTAGGTCAGCTTCCTGAGTTGTGACTGACCTCCCTCACAGGTGCACTCCCCTCTTCTGGGGGGGGAGGGCACTGATGTGCACGTGCGTATTTATTTTGGGACAGCATGCTACTTTCTTGTTCTTGTGCACAAGAGTTTAGATCTTGCCATTTACAGACACCTAACAGATTTTCCCTGATGGCTCATAAATCAGACTTGGTTCCAATGAATGACTTATGGTGAACATAGTTCTTACATCTCTCCATTCAGGGTGTACCAATGTCACTCTATCCTTGTTCCTGTGTCAAATGCCAATTTTTATTCACAGAAACATAAATGTCTCAAAGTGACATTTCATTTAAGTAATGGTCTTTGAGATAGAATCCGGCCAAAGGTCTTTTGAATATTTTCCCCTTCCTTTGTTCCATCCTGTTAGATCTACTGAAAATATACCTTAGGAGGGAAAGGAAATCCATTTGTATTTACATCTTATATGTCTGCATTCCACTGTAGAGCTGATTGTATCACTCCCTCATTAAAGATTTATCCCATGCTTGGGGTTCCAGGGTCTGAACCCAAGGAGAATCATTGGAAGCATTTAAGTCCCTGCTGACAGTGAGTTCTGCTTCCTGACAGGGGTCACATTTGCAACCCGGCATGCTAGCCTGCATAACTAGATTCCAGGGGCCTAATTTCACCCTTGAGTTCCTGCAAATTCTCATTCAGCTACCCTCCACTTGGTGATTTATCTAGATTTATTGTATCAATTTGGCAGAACAGCTCTGATACAATGGCACTTGATTTAATATCATCCGTCTTCCCTGTCTAGGAAAAAGATAGGATTGCAATCTTCGTATAATCTTCTTCATTAAAAGCTAAGGTTTAAGAACTCACTCATGGCCTATCTGCCTTCCATCCTTGGGAGAACTCTCCATTCCAACCTCATCTGTGCTCAGTCCTCTCCCTTGAGTTAAATTGTTCTCTCTGATTTGTTGAGAGGACTTTGTATGGTGCTCTCAGTCTCATAGATAATGCTCCTTGATGTCTTAGAATTTTGAAATCTACCTATTGCTGTATTTCCCCTAAGCTCCATTCAATGATACTTCCCAGTTCTTACTGTTTAAACCAAGTTCCCAGTTAAGAAAATGAACTGATTATTTCTTGGAGTAATATGTCTGAAACCTCCAGCAATCTCTGAAATTAAGAATTCACAGAATGCAGAATAATTTTGACTAAGGTAGCTTTTCGAAAACCATTGAATTTTTATTGCAGTCTCTTGCTTCAAAGTTAGTAAACCACTTAATGAATAGGCCTTCAAAATTCCAGGGGTAGCTACTATAATGATTAATATTCATTCATATAAGAAATATATGGTTCACAAAGTGTGAGATAAAAATTGGGCATTGGGAATTCAGAAGAACAATCTCTTCTTTCCCCCCAGTCCTCAAGCATCTCAATGTGGAGTCAAGTCACATTCAAACATGTACATATCATGTAACTACAAGTAAGTATCATAAGATAGGTAAAAGTGAGGGAGAGAGTGTCTCTCCCTATTCAAGAGAGCCATGTGAGGAATGGAATTAATAGTGTCCTAACGAGTAGATTAAGGGATTCTGGGAAGATGTAGTGGGGAGACCAGGCACCAGGAGGGACTGAACACTGTGACTGTGGTGTGTAGTGCAACAACAAATGGTAGCTTTAGAGGCTGGAGGAGAAGGTTAGGTATGCCATGATAAAAAAAAAAAAAAGATAGACTGCTTCCTGTGGGCAAAAGGAGGCAGTGTGGGGTTTAAATGATGGAATCCTGTGATCAAATTTGTGTTCTGAGTAAGAAAGCAGAGACATCATTTTGGAGGTTATGAATGTGCTAGATTTGAGGGTGGATGGGAACAATAACACAGGAAGTGGACAGAAAGAAATAGATTTAATGCACAGCTAAGAGGTAGCTATGTTCAGAATGGTAGCAAATCAGAGAACAGGGTATCAAGAGTGAACCCTGATCCAGGATTTGTTTTAAAGCAGCTAGATACATGGTGGTTCTAAAAACTAGAAGGGTAGGCGAGGAAAAGCAGTTAGGATTAGGGTTGACCTGTACTCTTTGAAATCACCCTGTGAACATGAGTTCACTGGGTTCAGTGTAAGCTATCCACATGGACATTTCCAATAAGCAAGTACCTAGGAGTGGTGCTCAAGTTTAGAAACATTGTATTCTGGCTAACTATATTTCACATACAGCAGCAAAGACAAATAACAATGATTCATCTCTGAATTCTAATATGGATTATTTATTCTATCTCATTCTTCTAATATATCAATCACAGGAATCTTATTCTGATAAATGATTTATTCTATATACTATTTAGTTATTGTATCCCCTTCTTCTAATATAGCAATCACAGAACTCTTATTCATATAAATTATTTATTCTGTACACTCAGGCCTTGTCATTACAGATGTTATTTACCTTCTAGCTGCATTATTTAAAAATCTCTTGATCATTCAAAATAGCAACTATCGAAGCAGTGAATTACTAACACAATATTCTTTCTATTTCCAAGAGTATATGAATAAACAGTTTATTCTGGCTAGAAAGCAATTTTACTGAAACATTATACTTACTATAGTATGCCTTTTCTGGAACATTTTGTAATGGACACGTTCATTATGCTTCCTAAATCAGTGAGTATTTAGGTTAGAAGTGGAACTATTCGACTAGAGCTCTACTTTCATCTTTTAATAATACCACCTCTCTTTGAAAACAATAACTGCATCACATAAACATGGTTGTCTTGGGTAGGAAATGATAGTTGAATAAAGTATATGAGAAGCAAGTTCCCATAGTTACCTTACCTTCTGATTTAGCAGTTGTTCTAAGAAATAATTCTGAAGTTTCTAAAGCCTGTTTAAGTAAATTGTAGAGACTTCACTCATCATGCACAAAATTATTTTATGAAACCAAAGGAGGGAAAATGTTCTGCTATTTAAATCCATAGTTAACTGATGTGTGTCCTTCTGATTGTTAACCCATGTGTTGAGTAAGTGACATATATGGAAGATAATTGGGGAAATTCTGATGCCTCTTGAAAAGGAACACTGAATAGACATTCAGAAATGCATATGTAATCATGTGTTTTCTAAAATGGATGTAGTCACCTAATGCATAGTACCACATATCTTGTGATTGCTTCACAATAGAAACTGTCAAGCTTCATTATCAAAACTTCTCCAAATGACATTATGTTTTCTTTTTTATTATCATTACACAGGGAAGGCCATGGAAAAATTTCCGTATTTGCTGTCAAAATGGCTTTAGCCACTTTGTGTGGAGGGAAGATCATGGACAAATTAAGATGTAAGTTTTATTCCTTGGATCACTCTTTGCATATCTTTCTTGTGCACCACATTTCCTCTACCTTCTTCCTGCCATGTTCCCCTGCCCATGTGTGTCTTTCCTCATTCTGTGAGAGCTGTTTGAAATGCATTCTTCTTTGATCTTTGGATTTTGTTATAGACTTTTTTCCTATTAGGAAAATGTTAAAGAAGCTCATGTTTTTCCAATGCTTATGTATTATTATTATTATTATTTATAACTTGTTGAGCATCTCCAACTAAAGTCTTTGCCATATTTAAGCCAGACAAACATTCCTTTAGGTATTACACTGTACTTCTTTACAAGAAATCCAGCAGTATAGATAAGCCAGACAAACATTCCTTTAGGTATTACACTGTACTTCTTTACAAGAAATCCAGCAGTATAGATTTGAGTCTAAATTGGTCAGATGTCTCCCTCCCGCTAAGTACTGTAAAATCAAAGCTCCAGACCCATTTCCT